AAATACGTTTGCATTCCTATGTGCACCAAGGCTATATATATGTAACAATTCTAAGACATACAATCGGCAATTTATTGGCAAAATATTTATCTGATACACGAAGTTGTACATGTACAGTATTATATTCTTTGAAACACTGATAAATTATCAAATATAGGTCTTTGAACTTTTAAAGTTTATTTTTAAAAAAGGAGTCTGGCAAATGGTGTGGATTATTTTAATATTATCCTTTAGCACAGTCAGATGGGTATTGGCTGTACAGTTGAACAAATGAACGACTGTATTATTGAAACAGCTGAGTCTGCCCGATGTTATTTATTCATGTTTAAATAAGATCCATCACATTACAGATGAACACAGTGATATGCCTAAAGGACTAGTGAACATGCCTACAGAACCAGTGAACACGCCTACAGAACCAGTGAATACGCCTACAGGACAAGTGAACATGCCTACAGGACCAATGCTAAATCTATCAGGTGAGTGCTGGTGATTGGATACAAAGTGATACTAAACTGATTCTGATTGGTATCTTGTTGCAGCTTAAAAAATATTCATGTGCCATATCCATGAAGTACCTTGCTTCTTTTGTTCTGTTGGCAGTTGGTATAATTATAATACATTTTGCCACCCTTGCGACATATTACCTCACATTCATGTTAAACAGCTAACATGATCTATATCAATTATTAAAAAATTATTTAACACATGTTTGACATTTCTTAAGAATCAAATAAATATGGATTTCTGAGGCATAATGTGCCTTTAAGAAATATACACTGAAAATATCATTTTACAATTTATTAATCCCCTTCCACAAAGCAGGGAATGGTTTCTGTCTGTCAGTCCGTCCGTACACATATAAAGATACCTAGGGTGGCTATAGAATTAATAGCAAACAGTAAATTTCCTTTGTGCTATTCATTCATTAAGTTTCTTATCTTTCAGATAACCAGAATTGCACAGAATTTGAGTTTTCGGGAATCAATTTAACAGAGGATATGAACAACAACGTGGAAGATGAGCAAATAAAGGTCCAGGAGGAAATTGAGATGTCATTAAAATGGTCAAAACAGGCAACCCTCTTACTTACTAGCGAGTATAAATAAAGACTTGATAAGATAGAATCAGGAAAATTAAGAAAGAACAGAGTATTTGAAGTAATAAGTAATGAGCTGTGCAAAACAGGGTATATGTTTACTAAAGATCAGTGTACTGGGCGAATGAAAACTATAACTAGAGTTTCCAAGTTTGTAAAAGACCATAACTCAGAAAGTGGAAATGACAAGAAGTCATATGTATTTGAAGAAGAACTTGATGAACTTTATTAAGCGCGACACAATATCAAACCAGCGTATGTTCTCGGCACCCTTCAGCAAGAAGAAAATGCAGCAAAATCTGATAAAGAAATTGAAAGTAAGGAGAAAGTAAAGAAAAGACACAGTGGCTCGGATTCAGAAGGTACATTTAATACACCAAAAGTCAGAAAAACACAGGCTTGTACTGTAATTTCTTATTTAGAGACAGTTACAAAAATGCATAGATGAAAGACACAGGCAGGAACAAGCGAAAAAGGATGAGCGGCATAAGGAAAGGATGGGCATTTTCAGAGAACTGATTGATACTTTAAAGGAGCAGAAATAGATAAATTGAGATAAAGCTTGTGGTCTCTTTAGAATGACATTAGTAAGATTAGATGGTATTAATATCTGGATCATGTTGTTTTTTCGCATGGCCAAATTGTAGCTTTTCATTTTCTGTAGTTGAGTAATTTTGTGCATGTCCTCACATCAATGCACCTTCTCATTTTCAAGATGTTGCATAATTTGAATGGAAAAAATCTGCACAGTGTTTCTGGACTGTGTACACATGGTTTGCTGTATTGATTGCAGTAAAATGATGAGAAGGTGTCCAATCTGTAGAAACAAAATTAAGAAGTGGATTCAAGTTTACCAAAGATAGTCTGTTATACAGTATTGATTTTGACGTGCATTTGTTCAACTTGTTTATATGTAAAATGCAAGATATATGTTACTAACCTGAGTCACAGGTATGAATAGTTTTGTCATAACTCCCTTTTTGTGTCGCCTCTATGAAGTAGTGATGGCTTCTCCGTCCTCTGTCTGTCTGTCCGTCCGTCACAAAACTTGTCCGGACTACAACTCATAAACTACTGGTGCAATTTCATCCAAACTTTACAGGAATGATCAGTACCAAATCTAGTTGTGCATATTGTTAGCATTTTCCGGTTTGATGATTTTTGTCCGAGGAATGGCCCTTTAAAAAAATTTATTTTTAAAATTTGTCCGGACTACTTCTCTTATACCACTAATGCAATTTCAATGAAATTTACAGGATTGATCTGTAGCTCAAGTCCTTGCGCATATTGCACGGGTTTTCCGGTTAAATGATTTTTGGCCGAGTTATGGCCCTTTGATAAAAAGTGTTTTTTCTGTGTGTTGCCAGATACACAAAAGCTTATCCGGACTACTCCTCATAAACTACTGGTGCAATTCTATCCAAACTTTACAGGAATGATCAGTACCAAGTCTAGTTGTGCACTGTCCGTCTGTATGTCCGTCTGTCACAAAACTTGTCCTAACATGAAATTGGCCATCATGAGGCGACACATGTGATCACTGATCGCTCTTGTTTAATGATTTGATAGCGGGCAGTATACTTTTTAGCCCCTCTTATTTTATGGAGTGAAATTACATTATTTTTTTGTTGTGTGTGCAAAACCAGTTTACCAAGAGTAAAGGATGTTTCCGTACAAGTAAGTTTAAGACAAATTTGTCCTTGTTTGGTTAAAGTATTTTATTTTTACTGAAAGGAAGGCAGCACCCTTTCTTAAGTGTTTAAGTCTATTGAGCGAAATTGTATTATTAGCTTTTGTGACCTCCCTTAATCATCACTGAATTTTTCTTGTTTAAGATTTGAAATTCATGCAATGTTATCAGAATTTTCTGGAAAAAAAAGAGAAAAAACTGGGTCATATATAATAGGTTCATTATACATTGACAGTTGTAGAAAAGTAAAGCACATTATTTTTGTCCCTTGTGTTTTCCAGAGGAAGAAGTAATGAAGATGGTAGAAAAACTAAGAGAGATCAAAAATAAAAGAAGAAAAGTTGATGGCAAAAAGGTGAGTGTTCCCACTTCTTGAGAACAGGTTTTGGCATATAAATGTTTAAAACGATAAAGGACAGGTTATAACTTATTGTCAAAGGCGGGTATGCTTCTGGCCCTTGTTTGTTCATGTGTCTGTCGCATTTTGTATGAAGCATAACTATGTCTAGAACCATGGAATATTTTATAATAATTTTTAACAATAATTTAGCATATATTTCACCAACATAAGGGGATGAAACCCTTGTATGTATAATCTATACTGATGGAAGATTTTTGACAATCGTTAATTTAACTGTTAAGTTTGTATTTGTTAAAACATTATTTACTTATTTTACTATAAACGGTATGTATATCTAACTTTTTGTTCTTGTTACTATGCAAATACAAATAAGTAAATAAATATAAACAAAATTAAGAAACAAGATAATATCAAACATAGAGGGCTACATGTATTTTGGACTTGATGGGGTTTAAAATTAATAAACTTTGGCAATTGTCCAATAGCCCCCTTGCTACACAGCTTCTTAATTATACCCCACCAGAAAGGGGGGAGGGCTATAAAATTCAGGGATGTGATTGTCTAATAAAAATTCGCTCTGAAAATTGGCCTGGGGTTAAGGGGGCGGCCTGAGCCCCCTTACAGGGTCCAGATGGAGAACCAGGGGGCGTAGCCCCCGGAAGCTCTCAGACTTAAGGTATTTTAGAGTGTTCAAAAGTCATAAAAATACAGAATATCAAGTAAATTTTTATTAATTCAACTTTATTGTAATAACAAAAAAACAAAATTAAAAATAGAACATGTGACTACAAAGGAATGAACAAAACAATATCAAACATACTGTATAATGTTTCTTCTTATTATAAGTGACTGGACACATTGATAGTTTTCAGCTTAGAGAAGAGACTAGAATTAAATTTCTATAAATATAATGTAAAAAATTCTTTCAGTAAAAATACCCATAAAAATACAATGAAAATCCTGACTTTTTTCATTTAAAGTAATCTCAAAATAACCTCATAATAATCACATAAAAACTTTTGAATTCTGTACATTCTATTTCTGGATGAAAACATTTCTGGATAAAAACATAACATATACTTAATTGCTAAGAATTGTCACTTCTTTTTGTTGTGCATAAGAAATTATGTAAATTGGCTACTATCTAATAAAGTAATATTTAAGATGAAAAGGACCAAGTGCATAAATTAGTTTAAATATGGTTAAATTATTACAGTTTATGTTATCACAAAGAACTTATTTACATGACATGTATATATAACTTTTTTGGCGCAGATTTTGGATTTCTGTATAATATTCATAACACATAACATAACATCACTACTACTAATACTGTCTTTTGTCAACAAAATTATCACTATTTAACTATACACCTACAATATATTTAAAAAGGCATGACTAGTACAAAACAATAATCTCAGTTCATAACTGTTTAAGATAGATGTATAGATCAGTCAATGCATTTTTAGCACAATGAATGATACAATAACTTTAGTTCACAAGATACATTTGAATTCCACTACATGTATATATATATTATATTGATGATCACACAAATTTCATCATGTATTCAATCATAGTCTACAACTTCCTTTTTTTAACAGAACACAATGTATGTATATACACTATCACACAAATTTCATCATGTATTCAATCATAGTCTACAACTTCCTTTTTTTAACAGAACACAATACCTCGGAGACCCTTTTCCTTGCTTTTTTCAACTGCATATTGGTGTGACTTGCTTTAGCAGCTAATGCATTTTCATTTTGCACAATTTTCATTTTTTGTTTTGACAATGGTTTATCATGTGTAAGTTGATAACTTTCTTTTTTCTTTGCCTCATCTGCGTTTTTTTCCAACAACAACCCTCTGTATGTTGCACTCGCTTTGCTAAGATTTTTACATAACAAACCATTTACTTTGTCATGAAGGACATCTTCCCTTGAAAACATTTCAACAGCTGACTTTCCATTAGCTCTTAAATTATATTTTACAGTTTGTACAGCTGAATACAATTCCGTGCTAGTGTTGGCAGATTAAATACCTATGACATCCCCATGATATTGAAAGAACTTTCAACCATAGGACCATGAAAAATAGTACAAATCATAAGCGCCAGTCTGCTTAAAACTGGGTATTTCCCTTGTCTCTGAATAGAACTCCACCACTCATCTATCTTCAGGTTTGTACTTTGCAGCAACGACTCATCCACCTGAAATCTAATTAAAATAAATACTGGATTATAAACCTGAACTTTTCATCGTTAGAAAAATATTAACATATCAGAAACAAACTCATATATATTCCTAAACTAAATAAGATCAACTGAAATAAACAATTTTATTTTGCTACAAAGAAAATAAGCCTTGTCATCTTAATTATTCTCATTTCATTTGCTCTTCATATGTTCTTGCAATATACACTCGAATATTAAATTAATATTTTTACAATGTCATTTATAACAGATTAAAAATTTCTTCACCTGTGGACTTCTAAATCAAAGTCTTCACTTTCATTTTCTCCCATATTGTCAAATTGAACATGCTGTTTTATATGGAGGCTATTCGTTGCCAAAAATCCAGCCTTGTTGATCTGAGTTGAACAGTTTGTTAATGGAAAAAATACAATTGTATTTCTTTGTATGTAAACTCCAATGTTGCATACTTGGATTGAGTTTGCCGATTTAACATTGTAAACATGCATTTCAACAAAATACATTTTGTTAAACGACAAAACATTAACTGGTAGTAGCAATACCAAGTGTTCGAATACTCAAAACAGAAGTTACATTCTTAGCTTTACATTGTCGAATCATCATGATTCAGATCAGCATAATCCAGCTTTACACGTTTTTCAATAGGAGATAAAATAAGCTCCGCCCATTTTCCCGCCCACTAAATCATCGTAAATAAACGTATATTCCGCTCATTTTCGGTATTTACCGTCGCGTAGTTTCCGTTTATCATACCTTTTAGGTGTTTAGTTACTAAACATAATTCACTTGCATGATTGCCTACAATCAACATCAGCGGACTTTAAAGGAATATAGGCATATATGTTTTAAAACGTTGTAGACACCACATTTCCTGGAAAAAGAAACTTAAAAAACCCCCAAAACACCAGGTTACATACTGTCTGACAAGGAAGTGAAAAAGAAAAGACTATATTCTACGACAAATAAATTTTACTGATGGTATTTCAATTTGCATAGGAATGAGTAACATTTACAGTTAAGCTGCTACCTTACCACTTTCAAATTTTCAAGTCAATATCTGATAGAGATTTTGATATGACTAATTACTAATACAGACCAAATTCTGGCTGTTGTCTTTCCTAGTAGTACTATTATATTAGTAACCTTAATTCTAGCGTATGACTTGACAAGAAAAAAAACTTTTAACAATAGTGAAATTATAACCAAAGTTGTATGTACCCTTTCGTACATAATTTTTTTTATTTTTACCATATATTTTCCCATTTTTCCCATTTTGTTTTTCAATAAGTAACATTTAAATGAGTCCAAATGTATGTATGTTGATTATCAATTTATGTATACCTTGTTTATTTTATCTCTTAGAAAGCCATCACTTACAAAACTTAATAAATATTCTGTGTAGTATTTCATGTACATAAAAATAGTTCTCTGCTTTTGATCATATAGACAGCAAATCTAGGTAACAGCTAATGACAGCATGTATACACATATTTTAGAGGTGCTATTGATTCAGCACAATGCATAAAAAGACCTTAACCTACGCCAGCTTACATATATTTAACAATAAAAGGCTAAATCACATCCTATGACTCAAAATACCTCCCAATGGAGGTAAACAGAGTTGTCAGGATACACTGAATATTTATTTCAACATTAAAATGGGACAAAGTCACAAGTTTTGGTTATACAACGGAATTATCGATAGTAAACTTTGCATTGTTTCGTGGTTATACACTTGGTCAAAAATATGAGTTTTTCTACAACCCAACATAGTCCTTTAAAGAAAGAAGGCACAGGCTTATTGTTCAGTTCTCTTTATTCGTGTTGCCAAAAGTGCCTTCCATGTATCGCATTCTAGTACTATTTGCTGAAGGTAAAAAAAAAAGATATGCTTAAGAGTATTGCCGTGGCTCACAAAACCCTATCATTGATATCAATGAATAGTGATGTGTGTCATTATATATGGGAAACATTTCCTTATGTTATTTCACCAACTTTAGTTTTTGCATATTATTATGCTCATTATCAGTATATACGTTGTTACATTTTTACAGTATATCTTAACCAATTTTGCATTACTTGAATATCCTGTACTAGAATGCGTTTTAACAAAAATCAGAGGATGTTCAAAGTCAAGATTGATGTAACAGTTTCTATATAATTTGAAATATTTTTGTACCAGCAAGAGTTTACCTCTCTTTATATTTCTGCTTTCGTGAAATTGGCTCCGCCTATTAATTTTCGTCTATTTCCGTGATAATTCCATATATGGAAGTTGCAAAATCGTTTACAAATGTTAAATCGCGTTAGAATGTAAAAGGAAAGTGTGGTGTTGTAAACCTGAGTGTGTCAAGTTGATGCAGTAACATTCTCAACGTCATGATGCACAACATTAAACGTATTGTGTACGTTCTATCGTTTACATTTCTACATGTCGCAAATTTGAAGTTATACATTTATAAATACAGTTTGTAATTTATCTAAGTTGCATGTTAACAGCTTTCATTTTATCAAATCGAGATAATCAAAATGCTTAATACCAGTGCAGTATGTAGCTCTCGGATCGACAATTAGATTTTTACTAATCTGTTTAGTAGAACCGAAGTATGCATTGTCAAGTTTCAAAGGCTGGATTTTTGGCAACGAATAGCCTCTATAGTTTTAGCTTCTTCAAGGACTTTGTTGTTTGACTATGTCCATGGGCTTCAGGATCTAGTCCAGAGCTGTATCGGAGAACTGGATTTGACAATGGAAGTTTCATTTGTAGGTATTTCCCTGTCTCAATGTATGCTGTAGATGCGCATTTCAGAAACTCCACTACATGTTTTGATTTTCTTTCATTTTTAATGATGCTTTTACCTTTACCTACAAACATGTCACACTCATCTAGAAATTGTCCATTATCACTGTCTAAAGTCATTTCTTTCAAATGCTGTACATTCTTTCCCAACACAGCTTCTGGCTTTACGTAACATGAGAGGAAGTCTTTAAACAATTGCTGTTGCTTGTCATGTATGATATGAACAAGTGGTTCTTTGGATTGAAAAAGCTTCACATAACTTTTCAGTATGCTAAGTACAGCCACATAGAAATGTAAAATCAGTAAATTTTTTTGTTCTTGATACAGTACTCTTTCAACAATCAATTTCTTTCTTTTAATTCCATCTTCTGTCATCTTTTTTTTCCCCATGGTGGCCAGTATTGTGATAATTCGTTTTCTAGCATTCTCACTGACATTTCTTCTCTTAAAGATTTCTTCTATAACAGGTTTATATTCTTCATTGTCTTTCACAAAGGCATAATAAAACATAACATAAGCATCCCACATCTGAAGAGTTGAAAGTGATAAATCATAACATGACAGCCATCTATGGCTTATGAACTTCTCAGGCACAGAGAAACGCATTCCCAGCAACTGACATATCTCTTCAAGATATTGACGTAAGTCAACCGACCATTTGTGGTCTGTATGTATTTGTCCAAATAAACCTTCAACCCAGTACATGAAAGGTGAACAATTTTTTTTGTTGCATTGTGTAGATGGTGACATACATCACCGTCAATGTCCAACATGTGAGGAGCCTTTTCTTCTCGTATCCTTTTTTCCAGACCATTTTTGGAACCTCTCATGACTGCACAAGAATCCATCAATATGGAAACAAGATTTTTCCAGGGTATATCATTTTCTTCAAAAATATGTTCTAATGCTAGAATGCTAGATAAACTGAGTTTGTGTCAACTTTTACAACCTCAACTGCTGCTAAATGTTCACAAACAACTTTCTGCTTAGACTGGGAGAAATAATTGACCAACACTGTCAAAATATGTTTGTTGTTGTTGCTGGTTGATTCATCTATATTGAGAGAGAATGGTGAATGTCTTATTTCATTTATCGTTGTCTCATGAATTGTTTTCCTTAAGCCATATGTTAACTTGTAAGAGGCAGAAGTACGATCCATAGACAATCCATCTACAGCTTTTTTGTCTTTAGAAAGTTCCATGGTGAGTTTAATTATTTCTGGAACCATTGTCAATGATATTGAATGCTCTGCAACAAATCCCAATACCATGGCCTGAAAAAAACATTTTTTCAGCTAGAAATTCATTACATATATGTCTTGACCTTTTCGAGTACCTAGCTAAACACCGTTTTTCCAGTACATTACAGATTTAGCTCTGGGGAATCATTTTAACATTTCAGGTGAAAATAATTAATGTGTTTGAAAATCATCAAAATTCCTTTAATATCTATTGACAATATGGGCCAGCCAAATACACAAACATCCTTACACAGTGGCCATGAATCTAGAAATCAAATATCGTTCAGACAATGGTACAGCAAGAAATGCCTTATAGGTTAACTCAAAGTGGCCAGGAGTCCTCAGAGAATGAAAATGCTGGTCTCATTCCATACAATTGTACAGCAAGACTTGTTTCACAATGCCCATGAATCATCTAACATAAATCAAGTAGGCAATAACATTTCTGAACAGGTTCAACCAGGCCAGAACTTGAGAGATATTGTAGAAAATTGCATAAAGTATTGCAAAACAAATGATATCAGCAATCCCGTTGAAAAATTCAAGAACAGATAGTAACTGGGAGGCCTTTAGAACTAGAAGATGCCAGCTCATCAATTGAAGGGGAAACTAATTCCATTTACATAGACAGGGATAGAGTTATGGAAACAGGTATGGAGGAAATCAGTAGCATTTCACATTCAATGTGTTAAATTGTTAAAAAAATCTAAATCAATCTTACTTAAACTGTTCAGCTTTTTCTGTCATATCAAAAATACAAGGGCAGGCTAAAATGTGTACGAATGTACAACTGATATCAATTTAAAATCCTGTTTTCATTCACAAAACATGAATATATTCCATAAGGCTATTTCGCGAAACCAAAATTGAAAATGCGGTACTTTTTCTTTCTCATTGCCAACTTCTAGATTGGGAATATTTTTGGGGGACAAAAATCATAGTTTGGTTGGGGAGTGGGGCCAATATTTCGACCCGTGGGATTGGGGAAAAAAGGCCTGAATTTGGTCATATTCAACTCAAATTTGACATATGGATATGTCAAAGGAATGTGCAAGTCGAGCTAGAATTTGGTCATGGTTCGATTATTTTTGGCAGATTTACGTCCCTTTCACTTTGAAAATAATATGAAATTATCAGTTTCCGCTCATTCCTGTTGCTGTTTGCCAAAAACACTTTACATTTGACACTAACCTTTAAATGAAACTAAAGAATTTTATAAACCTGTTGCTTGTTTTTAAAAAGAAAAATACTTTTAAGACCTATTCCTTAAGGTGAGCGATTTTGGGCCATCATGGCCCTTTTGTTTTACATGATTTTGACAAAACTTAGTTACTATGTTGTCTTGATTAAATCTTTTAGGATTCATACCAGGGGGTCAAAAACTAGGTCATGAGGTCAATAAGATAGCACGCCTGTTTGTTTTTGCAGGTGTCATAATGAGCGATATAGTGGCCGTGGCCTCTTGTTCTTCATTCAGAAACATGTTTCTTTGATTTGAGATGCAGATGTATTGGGTAGTTCTTATTTATTAATTTATAACAGTTTCAAGTGGGGTAAATTGACATGATCATACTTATCATGTTTTACAAGTACTTTGCATGGTTGCAATTAGATCTTTGTATTGTTTCAGTCGAGGAAAGGGAAGGACCCGAGTCGTGATATGAATATCCAAGTGGGATGGCAGAATTTTTCGTACCGAGAAAAGCGCTACAAACTGGTTAAAGGAACAAGAGAATGGCCAGATTCTGGCCCAACACAACTGAAACTTAAAATCAATGCCACATTCGAGCAGATCGAAAGCACCCTCAAGAACCATTTCTTCCATGGCCAAAGAAGCCCGATTGGGCATGAA